GGAAAGAGAACGTTGGAGAGTGAAGGAACTAGAGAGAAGTTAGAGAGGCCATCGATTTGTCTATTCCAAGATGAATTGGAAAGCGAAGATTATATTTTCCGAATCAACATCGAGGAGCTCAATTCTTAGAACTTACCATGGCATTTTAACCCCCCTAAATCATATCAGATTTTAAAGTACGTAGAATATATATTTTTAATACAAAATTTGATGGCTTAAAAATAGAGAACTATCGGTAGTTTATTTTTTTCAGTCTTATTAGAAAAACTCTTTTTTTTTTGTAATTTGTGGTGCGATTATAAATCAGATGGTTTTTTTTTAACCTAATTTGCAAAGTTTCAATTCGGAGCAATAGCAGTGCAAAAACAACACTCACTATCATATTAAAGTTCATGTAAATTGGCTTCTTAATTATCTACTTCTCTGTTTAGAGTTTCATGTGGGGTTAGAAACTTAACCCATCTTAGAATTGCTTTACTTTTGCTGAAATCTTGGGGCCGTTGCATGCATAAATTCCCACATGGCCACTCACCAACACACTTCTAATAAGTTATCACCACTCTTGGGTTTTTTTTTTTTTTTTTGGATAATTGGTTTGATTATAATGCTATAATATAATGTCATCTCCAAGTCGACTGGCACGAAGAAGGATGACGACTTGTAAAAGTTTTTGTACCTTTTTGTCTTGGGTGGTCAATGACGCAACCTAGACAATCATGGTTTGAATGAAGTCGTTGGCAATAATTGGAAGATCTATTAGAAAGTATTTAGTATGAGGATTTGTGTAATGATTCGTGACTCGTTATAGTATTTTTTTTAAAAAAAATACACGTAAATTAAAAATAATTTTAAATTTGTGAATCAATCGTCTACTTAATTTATACAACGAAATGGATAAAACAGAAAAGAGATTGAATAAGGAAATTTGGTTAAGCTCTCTTAGGCCTTTGCTATGGGCCTATGGCTCAAGAAAAAAAAAGGAAAGGAAAATTTAAAAATAATAAATAATAATAAAGCAAAGAACAACTTTTGTGCATCGCTAGAGAAAGGACCGAAACCTTCGACCTTCTGGTTAAGAGACATACACTCTAACCAACTGAGCTACTCCAGCAACTTATGATAAAAAGTCTCAGTAAATCACTTTAATGAAAAGCAAAAGAGAAAATGAGAATACATTTCATTTATTTTGTCAAACTTTTCCCACCTTTTTTCTTTCCAAAGTTAAATATTAGAAAATGGTGGGTCTCATAAATTTACAACTTCCTTTTAGGTGCAGAAAGGAAAAAAAAATTTTTTCCTTGCCCATTTCTTCTCTACCAAACAACCAATTCATTTTTCCTCTTTAAAATCCTTGCTCTAATTTCTTTCTTTTCAATTTTCCACTATACCAAACATAGGATAACGAAAAGGTGCCTCTAAAAAATACATTCTATTTTACCTTTACCTCCATTTTATATCTTTAGGCTATGGATTTTATTTGTTTAATCTTTTGAGCAAATTGAAGATTTTACCCTTTAAAATGATTGGTCTGAAATTTTATCATTTTGACTACCCCTTTCACTCCTTCCTCACATCTTCAATAGATTTGTGACGCAAATATCAAAGGGGAACTAATAAAGGGATATTTCCTTTTCTCGTTTAAATGACATTGGCAGTATTAACATTCCTTCCTAGACTTTCTACAAATTGATAAGTTGATCCCCGTATTTTTAATTTTAACAAATTATGCCTTGAATTATTAAAATGTTGCAAAATCTTCCAAGCCGATAGTGGTTGTTAAAATTTAGATGGATATGTCATTGTGCATGAGACATAACGTGCTCCGTGACTTTTCAAAATTTTAGTCTCTTACTATTAAACGAGCTCATGATGTGCATGAAGGCGTTTATATCCAAAATTTAACAGTTATTGCCAATTTGTTGCATTTTTCAACACTCAATTAAATTCATGGATAATTTGATTAGATTAAAAGTTTAAAAGAAACTTTCCACTTCATGGGAAAAAAAAAAAATGGGAAGGGAGGAGGGTTGAAAATACCCGAAAATTTATTAATTAGAATTTTAGCATTGGTTTATTTTGAAAATACCACATAAATTTAACATATTTAATTTAGTTAATACTCTATTTATGCAGCGTATCTTCATTATAAATTTATATTGTGCCTATACCTTATAAGGAATCCACTCTAACAGGCAAATGTTGTCACGTCCCTAAACTGGGATTAGTGACGTGTAGGCTCGTTTAGAAACCTAAACCTGTTTGAGAGAGTGATTAGCAAAATAATTTAATTTCTTTCAAATCCAAAACATTCAGGTATTTTCAAACGAGCCCCTGCATTCAAGAGAAATTTAATTTCAAGAACAGTGGTGGAATTTTCAACCAAACCAGTCTAAAATCACGTCTCTGGTATCATGTCAGGAATTCCCACAGGTGTTTAGCATACATGAACATAAACAACAGTAAATATGACAAAGAGATACAACTCTTCGCTTTCCTGAAACAAGTCCACGTCACCAGTAGTAGCTACCTACTCCGCACTACTCCTCGCGTCGCTTGGAGGGGTTTAATACATTTGAAAACAGGAAAAGGTGAGCGAAAAGTCCTGTAGGATATAATTTTATAAAGCATTTAAAATAAAGGTACTCACGGTCCGAAGATATACACCCGGAACCGATCATCCCTTTTTTAAAAAAAAAAGGAAATACTCACATAATAGAATATGTCTGTACAATGAAAGTGTGCAGCTCATCATACCACTAAACAAGAAGCGGTAAAAATATCTGTCTATGAAAAGTGCAGAGCCATAATTCCACTAAACAAGAAGTGGATCCGTACGGGTTTCGGGACCTGCCCCCAAGGATGCGATTCCCACATCCCGATCTCTG